ATATATATTTTTTTTTTCTTCCGGAATTTTCAGAAAAGTCCACTTTCATCTCTGTTTAATACACAATCAACTTTTGAGATGGGTGTGACCTTCAGTCTTCCTCCACGAGATGACGGTGGCCAACTTCTCGACATCCGGCCACCACCAGTTCACATTGGTTTCCTTGCAATGGAAGAACCGTATCATTCGGTAGCAGTAATTAATATGCCATAAGGGTGCTTTGCCAGTCAGCCCCAAAAAGGGAGAACAATATGTTTGGTGTGCTAATGTTGTGCGCTCACAGTTTCCATGTTTAAAGGTTATATGGAGAGCAAATGTTACTGTATCACATCACTGTGTGTTTTTATAAGGCGCCGTACTGTGGAGTGCAAATCTTCTTATGAAAGGCAGTTAAAAATGCATTTTGAGTGTTTTGGGTGGCTGGAACGGATTAACTGTGTTTACATTTAATTCAATGAGCAGAGTTGATTTGAGATAAGAGTCATGTCATGAAACGAATTTACCGGTAGGTTGTAACTCTGGGCACCACAAAACTACACCTGGTATTCTACCAATATGTTCTTTTGGGTAAAATCCAAAGTGGCACAAAGTTAACATTGCTCTGTCTTGTCCCTTCTCAAGGTTTCTCAAGTTTTCTGATTCCACATACACACCTCCTGAATACATCTCTGAAATGGAGCATGTCGGAAAACAAGGCAATATCATTTTGGTGTCAGGCCTGAAAACAGGACATGCGAAAGTGAAGGCCAGAATTCAAGAATCACTGTATCAAGTAAGATAATTATTTTCCAGCACAAATATTCAAATGAATTGCCTCAGTGTTAGACAGCCTCCAGGATTTCCTGGCACAGCTTTGATTGCCATGATGACTGACTACTATGCTATTTGTCACCTTTTCTGACCTCGCCAGTGGCTAAATATGGATGTATTGCGTCAAGAAGTTGCATGTGGCTAAACAAATTGTAACAAACAAATTATGTCTCATGACTCGTTCTGGGCGCTCAGATAGATATGTTTGAAGCCTTACTGTTTCTGTTACAGTGGAGTGCAAATGCAGACAGAAGAGCTTGCTCACAAACACATTTTCAGCAATAGACAGAGTCACGAAAGTTGTTTCCTAGCAGTAATTAATATGCCATAAGGGTGCTTTGCCAGTCAGCCCCAAAAAGGGAGAACAATATGTTTGGTGTGCTAATGTTGTGCGCTCACAGTTTCCATGTTTAAAGGTTATATGGAGAGCAAATGTTACTGTATCACATCACTGTGTGTTTTTATAAGGCGCCGTACTGTGGAGTGCAAATCTTCTTATGAAAGGCAGTTAAAAATGCATTTTGAGTGTTTTGGGTGGCTGGAACGGATTAACTGTGTTTACATTTAATTCAATGAGCAGAGTTGATTTGAGATAAGAGTCATGTCATGAAACGAATTTACCGGTAGGTTGTAACTCTGGGCACCACAAAACTACACCTGGTATTCTACCAATATGTTCTTTTGGGTAAAATCCAAAGTGGCACAAAGTTAACATTGCTCTGTCTTGTCCCTTCTCAAGGTTTCTCAAGTTTTCTGATTCCACATACACACCTCCTGAATACATCTCTGAAATGGAGCATGTCGGAAAACAAGGCAATATCATTTTGGTGTCAGGCCTGAAAACAGGACATGCGAAAGTGAAGGCCAGAATTCAAGAATCACTGTATCAAGTAAGATAATTATTTTCCAGCACAAATATTCAAATGAATTGCCTCAGTGTTAGACAGCCTCCAGGATTTCCTGGCACAGCTTTGATTGCCATGATGACTGACTACTATGCTATTTGTCACCTTTTCTGACCTCGCCAGTGGCTAAATATGGATGTATTGCGTCAAGAAGTTGCATGTGGCTAAACAAATTGTAACAAACAAATTATGTCTCATGACTCGTTCTGGGCGCTCAGATAGATATGTTTGAAGCCTTACTGTTTCTGTTACAGTGGAGTGCAAATGCAGACAGAAGAGCTTGCTCACAAACACATTTTCAGCAATAGACAGAGTCACGAAAGTTGTTTCCAGTCCAGAGACCCAAATATTTGCATACAGTCGATTTAACAAGTCACCTTGACTCAGTGTCCCCTTTTAAGGCAGACTCCCTCGTGCCGCTTGTTTTAAAACCACTGGTCATGAAGATGAAGCTGTTCCGATGTTGCTGTGATATCTGTCCTGCAGGGTGTGGACGCAGCTGAGGTGAAACTACTGATTTTAGAGAACATTTTGCTGAGCCCTGCGCATAATGTCTACCTGATGGTCGGAACGTCAATCCGATACCAAGTCCTGAAGATACGACAGGGCTCGATAACCGGTGAGACTGCTGAGTGGAGCTCGCATTTGAGTATCAGGGCAAATCTGAGATAGAATGTTTCCCATTCCCATTGCTTTTCAAGAGCTTTCAATGCCATGTGATCAATATGAGCTCCACCTTGAGAACAGCGTGGTCGACACAAATGGGAACCCAGATGTTGACGTTGCACGTCTGGATCAAAGAACCTCCACAGTTGCAGCCATTCAACTGGGACACATCAATGTCGTGCTCGACCATAAAAGTATCCTTCTGAAACATTTTCGCCTGCCACTCTGTTGGAGGCTTAACAAGGCGCTGATGGGCCGTGCTGGACCATGACCCCTCCTACTGCTCATGAACAGTATTTTTAGGCTGCACTGATTGACCTGTTTGGGTATTACACTAGTAGGTTGGTACCTCTACTTACAAAATTAATTGGTTCTGGAAGAAATTTCTTAACTAGAAAATGTTGTAAGTGGAGACGCGTTTTTCATATAAATGCCCGAACCCATTGCTAGCACCCGAAAATTCAGACATTAATGTTTTATAAAGCATAAAAATGCATTTGTTTAACAAAAATATGAGACCAAGAACAGTCGAGCTTGGACACCCCCCAAAAATGCCCATTCCCTAATCGTAGATGTGTTTGAAAATATGCTCGGACCACGCACTGCTTCACTCTGACCGTTACCAAACTCAGAGCATTGTTCAAATGTGCCCCAAAGAAGGAGCGCTGGATCCCAGTGCATCAGGCAGCATAAGGAAAAGAAACAGTTCAAGCACCAACGCTTGATTTCTTTTGAACATAGGCCGCATTCAGAAATGAATGAAAGGGGAGCACGCTCTGCCTCTCCAAACACAAATACTCGCAGGATGGTAGCAGGGCATTAGAGTGAATTCTCACTTCGGAAATGGTTTTCTTTTGACTTACCTTTGCAAGAATCACGCGTTGCATTGTGGTCGGTTGTTACGCCTTTTGTTGCCGTAATTAGTAAATCCTTGTTGTCGCTGACACCGCATGCTTGTGGCAGTAACAGAATTTCGTCACACATTAGTTGCCCTAACTACAGTTCTTCTGTCTTCTACTACTTCTTCTGCTTCCATATCTTCTTTTGCTGTACTTTAGCAGTAATTAATATGCCATAAGGGTGCTTTGCCAGTCAGCCCCAAAAAGGGAGAACAATATGTTTGGTGTGCTAATGTTGTGCGCTCACAGTTTCCATGTTTAAAGGTTATATGGAGAGCAAATGTTACTGTATCACATCACTGTGTGTTTTTATAAGGCGCCGTACTGTGGAGTGCAAATCTTCTTATGAAAGGCAGTTAAAAATGCATTTTGAGTGTTTTGGGTGGCTGGAACGGATTAACTGTGTTTACATTTAATTCAATGAGCAGAGTTGATTTGAGATAAGAGTCATGTCATGAAACGAATTTACCGGTAGGTTGTAACTCTGGGCACCACAAAACTACACCTGGTATTCTACCAATATGTTCTTTTGGGTAAAATCCAAAGTGGCACAAAGTTAACATTGCTCTGTCTTGTCCCTTCTCAAGGTTTCTCAAGTTTTCTGATTCCACATACACACCTCCTGAATACATCTCTGAAATGGAGCATGTCGGAAAACAAGGCAATATCATTTTGGTGTCAGGCCTGAAAACAGGACATGCGAAAGTGAAGGCCAGAATTCAAGAATCACTGTATCAAGTAAGATAATTATTTTCCAGCACAAATATTCAAATGAATTGCCTCAGTGTTAGACAGCCTCCAGGATTTCCTGGCACAGCTTTGATTGCCATGATGACTGACTACTATGCTATTTGTCACCTTTTCTGACCTCGCCAGTGGCTAAATATGGATGTATTGCGTCAAGAAGTTGCATGTGGCTAAACAAATTGTAACAAACAAATTATGTCTCATGACTCGTTCTGGGCGCTCAGATAGATATGTTTGAAGCCTTACTGTTTCTGTTACAGTGGAGTGCAAATGCAGACAGAAGAGCTTGCTCACAAACACATTTTCAGCAATAGACAGAGTCACGAAAGTTGTTTCCAGTCCAGAGACCCAAATATTTGCATACAGTCGATTTAACAAGTCACCTTGACTCAGTGTCCCCTTTTAAGGCAGACTCCCTCGTGCCGCTTGTTTTAAAACCACTGGTCATGAAGATGAAGCTGTTCCGATGTTGCTGTGATATCTGTCCTGCAGGGTGTGGACGCAGCTGAGGTGAAACTACTGATTTTAGAGAACATTTTGCTGAGCCCTGCGCATAATGTCTACCTGATGGTCGGAACGTCAATCCGATACCAAGTCCTGAAGATACGACAGGGCTCGATAACCGGTGAGACTGCTGAGTGGAGCTCGCATTTGAGTATCAGGGCAAATCTGAGATAGAATGTTTCCCATTCCCATTGCTTTTCAAGAGCTTTCAATGCCATGTGATCAATATGAGCTCCACCTTGAGAACAGCGTGGTCGACACAAATGGGAACCCAGATGTTGACGTTGCACGTCTGGATCAAAGAACCTCCACAGTTGCAGCCATTCAACTGGGACACATCAATGTCGTGCTCGACCATAAAAGTATCCTTCTGAAACATTTTCGCCTGCCACTCTGTTGGAGGCTTAACAAGGCGCTGATGGGCCGTGCTGGACCATGACCCCTCCTACTGCTCATGAACAGTATTTTTAGGCTGCACTGATTGACCTGTTTGGGTATTACACTAGTAGGTTGGTACCTCTACTTACAAAATTAATTGGTTCTGGAAGAAATTTCTTAACTAGAAAATGTTGTAAGTGGAGACGCGTTTTTCATATAAATGCCCGAACCCATTGCTAGCACCCGAAAATTCAGACATTAATGTTTTATAAAGCATAAAAATGCATTTGTTTAACAAAAATATGAGACCAAGAACAGTCGAGCTTGGACACCCCCCAAAAATGCCCATTCCCTAATCGTAGATGTGTTTGAAAATATGCTCGGACCACGCACTGCTTCACTCTGACCGTTACCAAACTCAGAGCATTGTTCAAATGTGCCCCAAAGAAGGAGCGCTGGATCCCAGTGCATCAGGCAGCATAAGGAAAAGAAACAGTTCAAGCACCAACGCTTGATTTCTTTTGAACATAGGCCGCATTCAGAAATGAATGAAAGGGGAGCACGCTCTGCCTCTCCAAACACAAATACTCGCAGGATGGTAGCAGGGCATTAGAGTGAATTCTCACTTCGGAAATGGTTTTCTTTTGACTTACCTTTGCAAGAATCACGCGTTGCATTGTGGTCGGTTGTTACGCCTTTTGTTGCCGTAATTAGTAAATCCTTGTTGTCGCTGACACCGCATGCTTGTGGCAGTAACAGAATTTCGTCACACATTAGTTGCCCTAACTACAGTTCTTCTGTCTTCTACTACTTCTTCTGCTTCCATATCTTCTTTTGCTGTACTTTCTTATGGCATTGGCAGATACTTTCAGTGCATTTCTGCCACTTTCTTTCGCATTCGATAAATATAATGGGCAGTGGTGCAAATTCATGACTACTTTTACCTCTTTGCCTTCTTCCATTTCTTCTTCTACTGTCTTTTGGCAGCTGGCAAAAGCTGAGTAAAGTATGTTTCTGGAAGGCATTTCAAATGTCCTCGTTGTTCCTCCTTTTAATTTTGAGTGTCCCGCCCCTTCCAAAGGTTTCTGCATGCACCAGCTGTACGCAATGTCTGTTTCAATTTTCCTTACAAGTATTATTTAGGTCTTCGCATGCAAGGAGTGTTTCGTCTTCCCAACAGCACTTTGTTTGTGGTGGAACCTGCCTACTTAGGTGAGTTCAGTCACTCCTGTTTACCGGAACTTTTGTTTTTAAAGGGAAAAGTGAGTGTGAGAAGTCTTTTTCAAACCTGTATGTTTGACTTAGGTTTTAAAATTCATCCTGGAAACAGTTGGGTTCTGGAAATGGGTCGAGACTATGATATCCAGATTGAAGTACTCGATAAATCTGGTAACAAACTCTACTTGTCTGATGTAAGTAAACCTCAGTAGAAAAGCACCTGTCGATGAAACTGTCACAGTAAAATGAATCCTGGCAATGAACTACATGAAACAGGGCTGTGACGTACTTCCGATCTCGCCAGTGATTGGAAAATTTACCGGTTTCTAATCTTCTGGTAGGAAGAGAATAAGAGCGCCTTTTGAGAAAGATATTACCTCGTCATCTCACATGCTTGCATTTTGATCTGTCTCTGTGGATGACATTCTGTAGCTTGGAAGAAAGGCCGGATTTTACATAATCGTTACTTAATTACGAATAAGATTAAAGAAGTATCATTTAAAATTGTTCATCAGATTTACATATGCAAAAAAGGTTCACGAAGGTTTGAGCGAAAATCAGATGTGTATTTGATTAATCTGTTTATAATAATAGGTACAATTCTTGTACATACAAGTAAGTTCATGGGAAGGAAACTATGCTTTGTTGCATTCAATAAATTCAAGTGTTATGTTTTTCGATGAGGCATTTCTTCAAAACAAAAAAGTATTAAAACTCGGCTTGTATTGAATCTTCATATTTGTGCATAAATATATATTGAATCTATGGAATTTAAATTTGGACACCCCGAGTGTTATGTTCTTTGTTTGTGTGAATGTGTTTTATTTTGTTCTTTATTGTACATTGGATCTGTGAAATAAAGTTAAAAAAACAGTTTTCGTTTATAACTTACTGCTCCAGTCACAACAGCGGCAAAAATAATTTACATAAAAATGAATAAATATCCAGCCATCCGTTTTCAACACCGCTTATACTGAACATGGTCATGGGCCTGGGGGTGCTGGAGCCGATCCCAACTGACTTAAAATGGGAAGCGGACTCCACCCTGAAATGGTCGCCAGTCAGTCGCAGGGAACATATAGAGATGAACAGCCAATCAAATCGACATCCAGACCGTCACTGAGTGGGAACCGTTCCCATGCTGCCCGTGCACAAGTCAGGCGAGTGTACCACTACACGAGTAAATATAAAAAGGTGAAATATGATTTTGACCTCTAGTCGCTATAAAAGCAAAATAAGCCTTCGCCATTTTCCCAAAGATCTCGTCTATAGCACGCAGTGGACTGGAAACAAAATGAGGAGGGTGTTGGTTGTTCCTTGGCATGCAGCGACATATTGGCAAGCTTCAAATTCTTTGTACTGTTATGCCATACAATTGCTGCCTCATCGAAGCGCTCGTGTTTTTCTTCTGTGCGTTTTTCTTCCCTTTGTTGCGACGGAGCAAAAAGTGAACGAAAATTCGACATTTGAAATTCACAAACGAGATCGGAACTACGTCACGAATCCGATTGCCATATTCCATACCGGGATGTCAGCTATGTTATAACGATTGTTTCTGCTCACATATGACACACTTTCTATTTCAGATCACAGCTTGACTGTGACCACCTTTGATACAATGCGACATAAAGCAAAGTTATTGATGTTGCTTTTCTACCACCTCTTTTGGCAGAATGTCCGAATCGAGTCTGTTTTCCCTCTGGAATTCTTTGACATTTTGCACTCTTCCCTGAATGGATCTTACCATAGGGTCAAAGCTATCAAAGACGGCCTGAGTGTCTTTGATGCTACTTTGACAGCTGTTGAGGATGAAGTAAGTTTGATTTATACTTGTTCACATTTCAAAATAAGTGTATTCATCTTTCGTTTATCCCGAAAAAGTCAGCGGTCAGCCTGATCAGGGCCTGTGTCCTCTGTTCTGCTTCTAGAAGGGCGGCGTCCACCCACTCGTCAACCCAGTCCACAATGAACAGGATGTGGAAATCTGTAAACCTATCGTTCTTAGTCCCAGTATTCTTACGTTCCCATGGCAACCCAAGGTCGGCGCGTATCAGTACACAATTAAGGTATAATTCGTGAGGATGAACAAGATGACAACTGACTTAATACCAAGTGTTTTGTTTCTTTTTTTTTTTCTTTGCGATTACCTCTCATGCTGTCCCATTCAATGTTGTTGAAAGTTGTTGCTCTTTGCTTTGGGTAGGCAACAGGTGGCAGTGGAAATTTCAGCTGGTCTTCGTCCAACCCAAGCGTGGCCACAGTGACTGTCAAAGGCGTGATGACGACAGTCAATGACATTGGTGTTAGCATCGTGAAAGCGCAGGATATGCGCAACCCACTCCATTTCGGAGAGATGAAGGTATGGTGACTCTGCCAGCATCATTGATAAACCATGTCATTTATGAATCTATACTTGTTAAATGACAAAACAACATTTGCAAAGTAACTGCTTTGTAGTTACAAGCAAGAAGGATTCATGTTAACAGTATAGTTACTTTTTATTCGAGAGTTAAAAGCAAAACTGTTTTGGGGCTAACATCCTGTTTTCACAATGCACTAACTCACTCCACTGTTTTTGCCGACAGCAATTCTTTTTTGTTTTATGTATTAATCTTACATGTGCAATATAGCATTTATTGGAATATATTTTTGGTGACCCGGTGGTCCAGTGGTTAGGGCGTTGACACCACAGGTCGTGGTTTCGATCCCAGCTCTGGCCTTCCTGTGTGGAGTTTGCATGTTCTCCCCGGGCCTGCGTGGGTTTTCTCCAGATACTCTGGTTTCCACCCACATTCCAAATACGTGCATAGCAGGCTGATTGACCATTCAAAATGGTCCTAGGTGTGCGTGTGAGTGCGGATGATTGTTCATCTCTGTGTGCCCTGCGATTGGCTGGCAAACAGTTCAGGGTGTCCCCCGCCTACTGCCTGAAGAAGGCTGGGATAGGCTCCAACACCCCCTGGAACCCTTTTGAGGATTAAGCGGATCGGAGGATGGCTGGATGGATGGATGAAATATATTTAGGATTTTTTCTTTAGCATAAAAAGAAATTATAAGTCTTCCAGTTTTTTTGACTTGTCAAGGTTGACAGTACAGTTCCTTCGTGACATTGGAGCTTCATCAACTGAAACCTGTGTACAACTTGATCCCCAACTTTGACACTGATGATTTTGAATATATTCATTCCCGTAGGTATACGTCGTTGAACCTGTGGCAATGGACTTTGCTCCCTGTCGAGTGGAAGCCCGAGTGGGCACGATTCTGGAACTACCGCTCAGAATTTTTGGCCTGCTGGAGGAAAAGGGGATGGAGCGCGTCATGTTGAGTGACTGCTCCCACTTTGACCTGCAGGTTGATGAGGAAAACCAAGGCGTCTTTCAGCAGCTTGAAGGTGAGTCTGCAAATGGATTCTGATGTGTAGCAGCTGCTTCAGTGCATAAAAGATAAATTTCTCCTCATGTTGCCATTTGCCTCACTCATTGGAGAATTGCCATCAAGTGAAGGTCACTCACAAATAGATGCTCACTTGTTGATCGTCCTGTTTTGGACAGTTTGCCATTGGGAGCGACAACTGGTCACAAGTTGTTCAGCTGGAACAGGCCATTTAAGTATTTCATGCGTTTGAGGGTAAAAGTGCAGTCTATTTTTCTTCTTCTTATATTTATTTGTCGGTTGAAGCAGTAAGGCCAGCAGTTCATCAATCTGTTGTGTTTTCGGTGAATCTCTTCAAATTGACCTTTTTTTCCATTTCACATTGAATTCAATCTCCTATTGCTAATTGAAAAAGTAAACTGGGTGTAAAATAAATTGCGGATATTTGCATTCCCCCTCCTCCAAACACCTCTGTTTCTGCCTTGCAGGTCGACTGGCTCCCGGCCAAGGCCACTGCAGTGGGGTGATAGCCAAAGCTCTGACCCCAGGCTACACCACGCTCTTGGTCAGCTACACCCATGGCAACGTTCACCTCAGTGCAAAGATCACCATTGCAGCTTATCTTCCCCTCAGCGTGAGTCTTAAAAAAATTATTCTTGCTGCCATAATCCCCTATAAAAAAAAGTTAATATTTACCTAAAATATAGACGAAAGGAGAGAAGTGGAACGATACATATGTTCATCTACACCATACATATAGTCACATTTCCCAGCTTGACCTGATAGTCGGTTTAAATAAATAATCTTTAAAAAAAAAAAAAAGACACGCTTTTCTGTTTTAATGACGGCGATTGTCCCGATGATCTCATTTGTCAGGCTCTTGACCCTGTGTCCGTGGCTGTGGTGACACTGGGTTCCTCTAAAGACATGCTGTTTGAGGGTGGGCCTCAGCCTTGGGTTCTGGAGCCCTCTAAATTCTTCTGTGAGTTGAGAGCTGAGGAGGAAGAAAGTGTGAGCCTTACTCTGATCAGCCCGCTGTCCCATAATTATGACCAGCATTTGGTCAGAGCAACTTGCAAGGCCTTGGGAGAGCAGGTAATTCCTCCATGCTGACCAAATAACAAACTGGATGTGTATCATTGGGACTAGATGGGCATGACTTTTTCTTCATTTAACAACACCAATAAGTGCTCAATATTCTATCTTTAAAATATTTCTTGGTTTATAACGTAGCATTGGGCACAGCATTGATGATATGTAACTGTACCAACACACTAATCCAACATAAAGTTAGTCACTACAATAGTATTCTGTTCCCAGAGAAGAAATGTATTCTCCATGGTGACCCAGTGTCAGAGCTTTGTTGTAATGATTCATAAATGTGCAGATGCTGGAAGTGAGGGTGCGAAACAAGGCCAGCGTGACCAACCCATATCCCGCTGTAGAGAGGGCATCTGTAAAGTTTGTTTGCGCTCCTCCGTCACGCCTCACCCTGGTCCCAGTGTACGCCATTCCGCAGCAGGAACTAGCATGCCCTCTGTTGCAGCAGAACAAATACGTGGTACGCATGTTATTTCCTCCTCCTTAATATGACAATGCCGCCTGAGTATTATGATGATGGTATTTTTGTAAAATGTTCTAATGCGATTTTGAGTGATTATGTTTGGTTTGTTTTTTTTAAGGTCCCAGTTTCAAATTATCGCAACTCAGTTTTGGACCTTGCGGCTTTTGACCACCAAGGACGGAAATTTGACAACTTCAGCTCACTGAGCATCGTGTGGGAATCAAGCAAAGTGTCCCTGGCCAGTATCGAGCCGATCCTTCCCATGACGCTTCATCCCTTTAAGGATGAAAACAAACAAATGAAACTACACGGTAAAGTGTCTGCTCTTAAAAGTTTTTGATTGGCTATTTTGAAGTGACCTAATCCCACGTATTTCTTGATGAGCTTTTTGGAAAGAAGGTTTCATTGAATTGAATGCCCTGACTCTTCATTGCTGTCGTTTTTTGATGTCTCAATTTATCATTGGGTTTTTGCTTAGCGCAATTCCTTTCTTTGTCCTCTGTAACAGGCCGGCAGACCATTGTTGTGCATCGTCAATCGGGGCCCGCTGCCATCACGGCGACAGCGCTGGATTACCAGCTTTCACATATCAAAGCAGCCAAAATTCAGAGTCGAGTAAGTGTCACATTTTTCACTTTATCTGATCATTCAGCAGTCTGTTTTCTCTCCTTGCTGTGACTGTGACTTACTGGCCCGTGCGGGATGCTAAGAGATGTTAAAACCCTCCTCGGTACGCGTTCGCTATGTAACTGTCACACATTTTTCAAACGTTAATGTTTTGCTTGTTCACTTTTACACTAGCCTTTTATTATCAAGGCCTCATTTACAGTAATCATTTCTACTACAAGGTAATCTGCAGCTCGACAAGGAAAGGTGCGTTAACATTGTTGGTAAATATGCAGGGATTGCCTTGGGCAGGAATGGCATTGAAGATGGCTGCACAATTCAAAAATATTTATATTTTGTTTACATTTTTGTTTTATCTGCCTTGTGTTGTGGGCAATGCCTCATAAAAAATTTCAATACTGTATCTGAGTCTCTTTTCCACAAGAATTTAGCAGCTTCCCATCTTTGTGGCCCAATTACAGTTGATGTCGCTGAACTACTGGAATGTATTCGCACATTCTGCCGATTCAGTGAAGATACATTGTGATTATCTACTTGATCATGAACATTCACTTTTCACACAAATAATTAAGAGCAGAATAATGCATTTTTTCTTTTGCTATGTTGCCAAACGTGTGGATTCTGTTGATTACCTTACGTATCAGTTATTTATTTTTATCTGAGTTGGTGCTACTGTATATCTTGATTCTGTTTTCAACTGTTCTGGTGGATAGGTTGACACGTTTACCCCAGTGTCCGCGACATTGGAACTCATTTTAGTTGAAGATGTGCACATCTTTCCTGACACATTGACCCTATACAACCACCCAGATGTGCGGGTAAGGGAGAAATGTTTCTTTTACCGCTTGATTACTGTTTAGTCCATCCATTTGGTGTTTAGTATTGTTTCTTTTTGCAAATGACTTCATTTTAGCTCATCTGAGTTTGACCCTACTCGCCTTAGACATATCTGAAGAAATTAACACTAATTGTGGTGGGGTCCATTGACGCGACTAGTGCAGCGTGTTCAACCATGCAAGTGATCTGAAAATGTGCGATGAAAGTCTTATCCAATACCAATTTTTACTTCAGCTCAAAAGCTTTACGTGTGTTTTTCCTTGCAGGGTAACCTTGCACTGCGAGAGGGGTCGGGGCATTTTGTTGTCAAAACCAGTGTTAAAGACGTTGCAGATGTGGTATTGCAAGACACCCAAGGAACAGCCCAGGTATGTAGGGACATCTGGAGTTCTAGGAGAGTGAATTAGGGAAGGGAAATCAAAATCCACAGTCTAGAGATAGTGATAAAGAATGATTACCCTTGCCAGTTTGAATTTCTCACTTGAATTCCTTCATGTCCCCAGGTTTCCCCCATCCAGCCAGGTGTGGTGCAAGTGATGGTTCATGACCTTTGTTTGGCATCCCCATTGACAGCCAAAGCCACAGTGCATGTTTCTGAAATCCTGGAGGTGAATTTGAGAGTGGTCGACAAGGTCAGTTTCCAGTCTGATAATTCATCTTTGTGGTTGATGCTGGAGCCGCTCGACATGATGCTTCTTAATACAGAATTAAAAAAAAAAAAAACGCACACATTCCATACGTGCCTCAGTGGCACTGATCTGTTTGTTCTGTAAAAGTGCTCAACTTTTAATATTCATGGAGTTCACTTGGTCTTCAGGTTTGCTCTTCCGGTGAACCGAATTGGTGATTTCCCTCTTGAATGGCCTCATTTGTCTCATTTACAGGTGGAAATTGGCAAGTCAGTAAGGTGTTATGTCAGACTGTTGGATGATAACAAGAAGCCTTTCCCAGCCAGCTATTTCCACTTCATGAAATTGAAGGTTAAGGCAGCGTCTTCAATCGTGTCATTGAAGTAAGGGCTGTGAGACTTGATGTGTTTTTGTTGTTCAAAATAGCTTAACCTTAATGGACACGCCTTTATGTTCCTTTTACAGACCAGTAGCAGAGTCTACAGAACACGACACTGCGGTTTACCTGGTAAAAGGTGTTTCTATTGGCCAGACAACCTTGTCAGCTGTTGTAGTGGATAGAAATGAGAGAAAATTGTCATCTGCCCCTCAACAGATTGAGGTATTTTGTTTACTGACGTTTCTTAAGTCATTATCAGGACTGTGAACAACTACTGTAGAAACTCTGTGTCACTGGTTTCTCAATAGGTATTTCCACCATTCAAACTCATCCCCCGGAAAATGACTCTGCTGATTGGAGCAATGATGCAGGTATGTTTGTGTGTGGCGTGTTGATGTTTATGCTGACAGGAGGTAGCCTCAGTTGAACTTGTCACAAGAGTTCATTTGGTCCACAGTCAATCTTCCAAAAGGGACCTTTGCCACAGGCTTTCTCTGGAAAACAGCATTAGCCTAGATGGTCTCCTTTCCAGCTCCTCTTTGAGTGCACTGTTATGTTTATGAAAAAGCACTGTGATCTAATCACAACCCCCTCAAATTGCTCAACATTACAAAGGTGAATATGCCCAAGTGGCCTGGAGGTGGGGATCGCTGGCGAGCGCCGAGTAGCCTGGCCTCGACCCATGTGGCCCAACCGGGCTCAGCTCCCACCCCCCAGTCATCCAGCCTGGGGGTCTGGTACCACTTCTCTCGAGAGAGGTTGGACTCTCTTCCACTCTAGTTGCCCACGGTGAGAGGCGCATAGCATAGCAAGTGTGGGCATCTTCATCGCGCCCCAATCAGATCTTGAGTGGTGTTTTGTTATTGGACTTCTGTGCTTGTCATGGATTGTCCATAACGAACACCATCTTCAAACAGAAGAGTGTCCATATGTGGCGGGAGTTCGATGATTGACTTTGTGGTCGTATCATCGGATTTGTGGCCGCATGTTTTGGACACCCGGGCGAAGAGACAGCTGGAGCTGTCAACTGATCACGACCCGGTGGTGAGTTGACTCCGATGGTTGGGAAGATGCCAGTCCAACCTGGCAGGCCGAAATGTATTGTCAGTGTTTGCTGGGAGAGTCCGGCAGAATGGGTCTGTCGGGAAGTCGAGTCTCAGATTCAGGATGAGCAGTGTGGTTTTCGTCCCGGCAATGTGCACTTCGAGAAGGTGTTCGATCGTATCCCTCAGGGAGTTCTGTGGGTGGTGCTCGGGAGTATGGGGTACCGAATCCCCTCCCCTTATATGGGCTGCTGGGTTCCTGTCCTCAGTCAGAAAAGGGTGGAGTGCCCTCGCCCGGTCAGGGATGGGTTCTTACCACAAGTGGAGGAATATAAGTATCTTGGGTCTTGTTCACAAGTGAGGGCAGGATTGGGCGACAGGTGAATCGGTGCAGCGTCTGCTGTAATGCAGACTTTGTATCGGTCTGTTGTGGTGAAGAAGGAGCTGAGCCAAAAGGCGAAGCTTTCAATTTACGGGTCAATCTACGTTCCTGCCCTCACCTATGATCATGACCTGTGGGTTGTGATCAAAAGAACGAGATCCCGGCCGATAAAAGCGGCCGAAATGAGTTTCCTCCGTCGGGTGTCCACGCTCTCCCTTAGAGATAAGGTGAGAAGCTCGGTCATCCCGTAGGGGCTCAGAGTCAAGCCACTTCCCCCCCATGTTGAGAGGAGCCAGATGAGGTCACTCGGGTATCTGATTAGGATGCCTACAGGACACCTTCATGGTGAGATGTTCAGAGCATGTCCCACAAGCAGGAGGCCCCAGGGATAATCCAGGACACACTGGAGAGACTGTCTCCTGGCTTTCCTGGAAACACCTGGGCTTTCCTGCTAAAGCTCTTGCCCCGCGACTCAGATAAGCGGTAAAGAATGGATGGATGAAAAAGACCCAAGTGACCTACCACTTAGGTTTATGTCAAAGGTTCATGAAATGATTGTTTGACTCTACTTTTGTCACAGTAAAATGAACAGCCACAACTTTTCTGAAATACCTGCACCCTCGGGTTACACTGCTAAAATTTATTTTGTGAGTGACCTATTTATGCCCACTGTTTCTAGATCACATCTGAGGGTGGCCCGCAGCCTCAGTCCAATATTCTGTTTTCTCTCACTAATGAGGACATCGCTTCTGTAAACGGCATTGGTCATGTCAAGGGTATGACCACTGGTAACGTCACGGTGACGGGACTCATTCAAGCTGTCGATGCTGAAACGGGCAAACTGGTTGTTGTGTCAAAGGTAGGAAAAAGAAAAACAAAGATGGGGTCATGCAGAGTGAGTTTTCTTTGAAGAGATGCTTGAACAGATGAATTGCTAATGCCGGTCCTTCTGTGTCTTTAGGATCAAGTGGAAGTTGAGGTTGTGCGTTTGACTGCCATTCGAATTCGAGCACCCATTACACGAATCAAGACGGGAGCGCAGGTACAACCTTGTGAATGTACATTTAAGTAAATACTGTTTTCAATGAACCAAAAATTTGGAGATGATGATTGGCATTGGCCCTTGTTGCATGTTGTTTCCTTCTGTAGATGCCTGTATATGTGATGGGTTTGACCAATAGTCAAACACCCTTCACATTTGCTAATGCTCTGCCGGGACTTAGCTTCCACTGGTCCACTACCAAAAGGGACATCTTGGATGTGCAGTCGAGACACTCTGTGGTATGCTTCTCTTTAGTGGTTCCTTTTATCAGGCTGACTTGCACAGAGTTCCCACAGGTCCTTAAAGTTAATAAAAATCCATAAAAAAGTTGCAAAATCATGTTCTTAATTGTCCTTAATTTTCAGGGAAAGCTTTTAAAATCAATAAAAATCCTTAAAATGTTATTTTTATTCAAAAATAAATTGAAGTTTTATATTTTCTAAATTAAAAATTTTCTTAGTGTACTTTATTTGAGAATGATTTCAAGTTTTTTTCATTTTCCTATCTGTAATACAGGTAGGAAAATGAAAATTTGACATACAGTATGTCAAATAAAGGGTAAGCTGATTGTCCCTAAAAATAAAGATGTGCCCCTCCTTTGGCAGTAATGATTTGAACACCAGCTCAGTGATATGTGGCTTTCTGTTCTAGCCCGCATATTGCTGAGCAGGCATTAAATCCACCATGAATCCCCTGCTGAGTGGAGAAAAAAGTCCTTAAAAAATGGCTAAATTAGCCCTCAAAAATCCTTAAAAGGTCCATAAATAAAAAGCAAGTGGAAGAGTGGGAACCCTGTTGCAGCATGCTTTCTCTGCATTTACTGAAGTAGCTACCTTCACTGTTGTACCCCCATTCACGTTTTACTTGATTTGCTCTTGTAAAATCTCAGGCTAACGTGGCGCTTAACTCGGAGTACAATTTCGGCATGAGTGTGACTGGTCGGACAAGAGGCCGGACTGGGCTCAAGGTTGTCCTCAGAGTTGTCGACCCTGTTCTTGGTCAACTTGCTGATAATCTTCCAGAGCTTGAAGATGAGGTCCAAATTCAGGTACAGCTCTAAAAATGGTCTTATATATCGATTTGACAAAAATGTGAGCTAATCACCACAGTGAACCAACCCCATGCTCTGCTGCCTCTTTCCAAATCAACCGTCAGAAACAGCAGAGCAGTGAAGTTATTTGTCTGTGAAATATTATGAAGGGATAAGAGTGTATATTCAAGACCAATGCACTCAACTTAACAATGTGTCAGACTCCGACGTGTCACTTGTGTCCTAATAATGATGTTGTCATTACGTTTGCCTCAAGGTCTATGACAAACTGCACATGTTTAATCCCAAAGTCGAGGCCGAAGAGATTCTCATGACTCCAAACTCAGTCCTCAAACTTCAAACAAACAGGTTAACTCAACTTGCATGTTTATCTTGTTGCTCAATGAAATTCTGAGACGAACTGATCTGTAATTATATTTGTATTGTATTGTATACTAGAGACGGCGTGGGTGCACTGTCATACCGTATGCTGGATCACGCTGACCAGGTTGCTATCGCTCAAGTTGATGAAAAGGGCTTCCTCGTCTCTGGCTCAATCACTGGCATTTCACCACTGCTCGTTACTTCCCAAGAATCTTTTGGTGTCAATCAGACTCTCATCATTGCAGTCAAGGTCAGTTTGAGAGGCCTCCTGTGACCTGTTTCGGATTTTCGGATCACGTTTTCGGTGACCGAATTTTCACTACATCTTAAATCCAGAAAAAATAATTGTACTGCAGCAAGTGGACTAATTCCTCAAATAGTGGTCATCCATAATACAAGACGCATTGCCCCAGTTAGTTGCCACGAACATGCTTTCATAATTACCCGAGTTCATAAGCCCCTTGTATTAATGAAATAGTCAAATGATCTTAAAAAGAATGTTATCGGTGATGTTTTTCAGTTTTGTTGAGATGGCGTCTTTGACGGCGTTTCCTGTTCCAATGTGCATCCACATTTATGTTCAGGGGAGCTTTGTAGGCCGTCTGCTCTGTGATAAACAGTTGTACAAAGTCTTGAGTTGACATTGTCCCTGAAGGCAACACTGCCCTCCTCAGCCACCATCCTCATCCCTCAGGTGGTGCCGGTGTCCTATATGCGCTTCAGTACCAGTCCAGCGTTACATACATACACAAAGGAGAGCCTGAAAGCCCTCCCTTTGGGCATAGTCCTCACCTTCACCGTTTATTTTCACGCCAGCACTGGAGAGGTCTTGCACAGCTCCAACAGCCATCTCACCTTCTCCACTAACAGGTCAGTTTCCACTCTCCCTGTCGGTGCTCGTAAATGTTTTTGTGCTCGTCGCTGAGGAGCGGTGCGCCAAAAGCCACAAGTCACTCAAACGTGTTTGCTTGATGAGTCTGTTGTACGATGCCAAGTGCCAACAACTTTGGATAATTAACATAATTATTTCTTTCCAAATGTCATTTAGCATAACAGTTAATTGATGATATAAATTCACTTAGTTGAATTGTCACTCTCGATCTTGAATGCCATTCACCTCACCGACCGAGACCATGCACACTTGCAGGCCAGGAGGGATAGGGATTGCTGGTCGGATTTGATCTTGCACAAATGCTTCTGCATCTCTGCGCTGTGTTTGAGGCGACCGGCGCCTTGCTCAAGTGCACCTCGACGTCAGGCAGGATGGAAACTTGTGTCTCTCAAGCAACTTTTTTTGTTTTTTGTGTTTTCACAGCAGACTAAGCTTCTGTCGCCCCAATCTGTGGCCTAAATTATCCATTATTCAAAGAATCATGCCAATTTCATTGTAAAACATCCTTGAACATCATGAGTTTGTGTGAACGTATGCTGATACTTTTGAACAAAAAATTATGTTTCAGTGCTAGTTTGGTTCGTGGTATGTCAGTAAATTGGCAAGAAATGCTGATTGTCACTTTCCCAAGTAAAAGCAGATGTTATGCAAATTTGTATTTGAATTCAACACAAAGATTTTGAGTCTGCTCTAATGGAGGACTAAAGAAATCTGAGAATATTTAAACCTGTTGGGTCTGAAATTCTGTGGTTTTGCTCAATTTTGAATGAAACAAGGTGTCCCAACAAATAGTTTGTTTTTAAAACTAATTTTCAATTAATATGTTAGTCGATTAGTTGTCGATTAATCATTGCACCATCTCCATGTGTTGTTGCTGAAAGGCTATCAAACCAAAATATTGAGAATTTGATACCAAATCTGTGAGCAGTTAGAAAGTTCTCACACAAACCCTAACAATGCTCTATGCGTTATGAAGATGGCAAATTAATATTTTAACACTGCCAGTATGATTTGGAATCATGAGGCAGACGCGCCTTGTAATTCATTACGTCAATTTACCAGGCTGTTCACTCTACATCTGAGAAGGCCTCATCATCGGTCCTCACAAATTTTTGTGCATAAAATTTCAATAATGGTGAATGGTCAAAAAAGAAATACTTGGACAAGCCAGCACATTCACAAGTATACCTTTTAAATGTCTGTTTTTTTTTTTTTAAATAAATAAATGTTAAAATGGTCTTTTTGTTCCTCTCTGTCAGGGATGATCTGGTGCAGGTCGGGTTTGGCCCTAGTAACCATACTTTGACAGTCCGGACCGTCAACACTGGTCTCACGCTGCTGTCTGTGCACGACAGTGAAAACACTGTTGTGGCAGACTACATTCCGCTTCCTGTGGAGCATGCCATCCAGCCAGAAGAGGCCCAGAGGCTGGTGGTGGGAGACGTCATTTGCTTTACTGCTCAGCTTGCCAGTCAGGACGGTGAGAAATTTGTGGATCTAAATATTTAAAGTCCCCTGAACAGTTTTAGTTTCATCATCTTGGGCAAGTTATTAAATCTCCTCTTCTCTGCAGGAGGCCACGGTATTTGGAGCTCTTCAGCCAATGCCATACTCCAAGTCGACTCCACAACTGGTGCAGCTGTAGCCAGAGACTCTGGGGCAGCTACTGTGTACTATGAGATACCTGGTGTTTTGAAAACATACAGAGAGGTAATGCGTGTTGTCTTGTTGCACCATAGCAATATATATTAATTCATCTGATTTACCGAATGCCAAATTAGTGAGATTTATTAACTAATTTATTTATTTATTACTTCAGTTGGTCAGGTGTTGTGATGAAAGAGGTAACCGATTCTGTAGTAACTATCTAGACTGAACTCCGAAGTGTGAGACAAGGAGCAACATTTGGACACAGAAGTAGACATGGCACATGAATGGTAAAGTGTTTATATGCAAAACTACACACCAAAGTCACCCAACAGATGGTGAACGGCACCAACAAACTAACAGCATTGAACGCTATACTAAGAACCATGGAAGGATATTAGACGTTCTGGAACCAGACCTAAAATACTGAAGGGCAGCAGACCACGTCCAACCCTCTGACAAAAGAAAGGATCAAAGCACTGTCTCAACACTCTGGTTGCTTTTCCACTGTCATCCCACTTTTATTTTCCAGAGACTTTTAATGACTTCTGTCATGGTGTCCCCCTTGAACCAACACTGAGCCATTTACAAAGTACTGAGCAAAGTACAAGATGCATAGTTCAATGTTTCCCCACATCGGGTACGCAAGCACATTTCAGGGGGTACATGGAAACATTTCAAATGCATTTTCCAAGTTAATAAATGCATGCGTTTTCAGTCATTTCATTAACCCGTGAATAAAATGGTATCTGTGTACTACAATTTGTTTCCCTGGGGAGACAATAATCTGGCACACCCATGTGTCAAATCAACTCATTCAAATCAGCTCTGATTTTTGTGGTAAATACAATATTGTGTTTGTCGTAAAAGCTAACAGATTCATTTGTCATTTTTTAACTTTTATTTCAACCTCTATTCAAGGCAACATTGGTTGAGTTGGAAAGAATTAAGCAGACAAAATTTCAATTAGTCAGTTGGGTTGCGTTCTACTTTTAGAGAATTCTCAACTCGAATGACTGAGGGCACTCACGTTGTGACAAAAAGGTTCAGAGGCACACAAGACAAAAAAAGTTTGGGAACCCTTGCCGTATCATCAAGTGTCTCATCATCACCTGCCGCATCGAGATTGTGTCAAATTGCGTGACAATTTTTATTTATTTTTTTTAATCACTGAATTCAGTCCACTTTGTGTGTCTCCTCTAAGATGAATGTTTAATTCGTACGGTATCAGAGATGAAAGTCCTCCGGATTTTCCCGGAATTCCGGGTTTTTCAAATTTTTATGAAAATTTCTCCGGAGAATTGAGGAAAATAAAATTAATCCGGACATGAGTTGACAACATTGGACGAAGACGCGTTTGAGTTTGCTGTATTGCTTTCACGAGCGTAGCCATATTGAGGCACTAACACCTAGTAACAGTAAAGAGATTTTTGTTTGTGTAATAACGACAGAAGACATGATGGCGTTTGACTAATGGTTTAGTAGAACGAATGGCAACTCGCAACAACAGTAGCAAGCGTCATTTTGCCTCTTGGGTTATACCATCTCAACTAGAATGTGGGGGATAGTCCCCAAAACAATTTTCGTCTCTTTATAAACACACTTGCTAAACCCCAGTGGAACGAATAAAAGACGCCGCGGACAAGACAGTTGTCGTAAAAAATATATATTTGTACAAAAAGGGAAGCACCCAGATTGGCAGAAAAACGTGTCCGACTTCGAGTGTCGTCTCGGCTAGCTTAGCTGAGCTGTTGTCGTGTGTGACGTAGGTTGCGTCGGCGCTGATTGGTTGAAATCAAAAGACGCGCTTGCATACATGTTCGCGCTGAAGCACGCACTGCAGAGAGCAGCGGACTATCTACTGCTGAGGC